TTAATTTCATTTTCAAAGACAGAACGATAAAATTAATATTGGACCATCTTTGGAGATCGTCTGTTTTATGCAGATGAAATTTCCATTTTCCAGAGAAAATTCTTACTTAATAAATTAAAGTAAAATTATCATCCAATTTTAATTTCATTGTTCCACGAATCCTAGAAGCTTTTTACGAGATTATTCTCGTATTTATCAAATTTTACCACTGGAAGAAAGTGAAAAATGGCGAATGAAATAAAAGAGAATGTTGTTGATCCTATAGGATGAAGAATCTAGACCACCCATCCAGCCTCCATTAGCAATACGCAAGAACGTTCACGATTATTTTTAAGCATAATTGGACGATTATAGCAGAAGTCTGCAAAGATATTTCGATGTTTCTGACGTGTTGTGTAAATATATTTGAAGAGTGCATATCGCGGAGAAGCGTGGCAAGTGAGAGTGAGAGAGAGAAAATGGAGTGAGTGTGAGCGAAAACGACCGGACGGAGAAAGAGAATAAAAGATACGTTTGTGTTTTTTGGACGGGTGGCTCAATCATTTCAAAACTGCGTTCCTGTAGACTTAGAATGTTCTCTCGCCGACGGGAAGTCGTGTACGAGGCTAGATGCAGGAAGTTGACGATGAATCGGTGGCAAAGAATCGTCCACGAACTCAGAAGTTGGTATAAATATTCTCTCATATTATCGAACAGAATTAATCGTTGAAATTTTACAAAGCGACACGTCTATAACAGAACAATGTATCTTTTAGAGTTTTAATTCTACAAAATTATTCTCGACAGGGGATCGAGTACGACGACGAGCGATCAATGTTTACATTTTGACTTTTCAAAAGAAATGGATTTATTAAATCAATTTTATTCTGTGAGATTTTACAAGAATCAGTTCGAAGCTTGTCGCTGATGAAGATTCTTCGTCGAGGAACCATAAATTCTACATACGCCGTTTATTATTATTATTAAATCGTCAAAAGTTTCAAAGTGACCAAGAAAAAAGTTTAAGAAAGAGATATGTTGATATCGTTATTGATATGATATACAGGGTGTCGCCGATCAGGTGGTACAAGCCACAAGGAGGTGAATCTACATGAAAAAATAAGACGAAAAGAGAGAATAATGTTTTTTCGTTTAAGGCTTCGTTTTTAAGTGAACCGTTGTTGAAGATTCGTTGAGTTCGTGTACACTTGGCTACACTATAGATTAGTTTTTGTTACGTCTGCATACGTGAACTTCGTCAATGTTATAACTTGTTATTTCCGTGTCAAACTTCCAGCCTTTGTCGTTCTGTCAATATGTTGACATACAGCAACAGAGGCTACGTTGATATGATACTCGCGGAACGCCGTAATGATACTCGGTATCATGTGTCGGTAACGCATCTATGGCTGCTAATTATTACAAAGATCGTTATCGTTATCGTTTTACTTCAATGTTTACTCCTTAGTACTTAATGTTAGAAATCGGAACGGTAATTGGAACAGTACAATCATATCCTTCAAACATAAACATAATTAAGATCATATAAAAGCGTACGCACACTTCACCAAAAATGTACGAGTCTTCAACACCGATTTACTCGAAAACGAAAAAAACTATTTTTTTTTTTTTTTTCAATTTATTTTTTCATGTAGATTCACCTCCTTTCTGCTTGTACCACCAGATCGGTGGTTTCTTTATCTCGCAATGTTAGAATATCTCTATTAAAAAAATGTTTTTCCAAAAGTTGTTTGGTAGGAAGGTAGGACATCAGATGGTGCAAATTTTTTAAGCAGGTTAAGTGTTGGCGGGGAAATTTCAGTCAAATTAATTTTTTTAAATGGAACAATATATTTTTTTCCATATTACGATGACATTTGTTGAGACGAATTCAACGACCTGCCATATGAGATCATTTATTATTGTAAAATGTTAGAAATTATGTTATAAATTCGTGAGTTCTTAAGGAGTTAAGTAAGCCTGAATCATTGCTTGACGGCTATTAGGCTGCACGCTGAAAACAAAAATCGAAATTCTTATCTCCCTTTATGCTTCTCAAGTTACAAAATGCTACAAACGTCAATATGAATCGTGAAAATTTTTCTCTAATTAAACATTGGTAAGTAGAAATAAACTTAGTTTATTTATGTCGGTAACTTACGACTCCTTAGGAACTCATGAATTTATAACATAATTTCTAACATTTTAAAACAATCGCAAATTTACAAAGGCAGGTCATTGAATTTGTTTCAACAAATGCCATCATACTATGAAAAAAGAAAAATATATGGATCCATTTAAGTAAATGAATTTGACAGAAATTTCTCCGTCACCACTCAACCCGCAAAAAAATAATTTGTACCATATGATGTTCCCCTTCGTATCAAACAACTTTTGTAAACACATTTTTTTGATAGATTCAATCCCTCGCGAAATATTCCGACATTGTGAGTTAAAGGAAACACCCTGTATATACGGATTTCTAAAATCTCCACTCTGTGGAGCGAGTGGAGAAATTGAGAAAACGGTAAAAAAAAAAAAAAAAAAAACAGATTACTATAGACTCCCTCTTCGCTTTAACCGACCACATTTTCGTTAGGAGCCTGACATATTACATGTTACGTAGCTCATTCGTGATTCACAGCATTTATCATAAAGAAAACTTCAATCGAACGAATTTCGGACTTAATTTTGAAATAAAATAAAAGAGAAAAGCTGAAAGTGTAAAGAATTTAATTGAAGAGTTCTGTTCTTGTATCGAATATTGTAATCTAATCTTTTTTATCACTTTTTAAGTTTCCATCCAAAATTCTGCTGCCTGTCATGTAAGTAATGTGGCAAAAGATTCTAGGAACGGATACAGTGCACACTAATGGTTTTATAATTTTTTAACTGTATTTGGATCGCAGTCAGTTCACGTGAACGTATAATATATAACAACATTCTACATTTTATTTATAAATGATATAAATAAAATTTGGCGTATATTTTCGGATTAACCGACCATTCGTTTATACGGTCCCGTAGGGACCGGTTAAGAGGGAGTCTACTGTACGTGCGAAAAATTAAAACAAAAAGGGAAATAGTGAAAAAAAGTTAATCCGCAAGAAAAAGAGAGAAGCTTCGTTGTGGACGACTCTGAGCCTGTTAATTTCTGAGAGAAACAGCAAATTAATTATTCCTATAGAGTCTATTCTTATAAGTATTGTATCTTTCGACTCGAGTTCCGCGTCGACTTACCGGGAGTTAACGTTCGATCTTTGCAATTGGTTCTCGTTTAAAACGGAATAAATTCGAAGGAGAACAAAACCAAAAAAAGAGAGAAAATAAGGAAAGAAGAGATCAAGATCTTTCGCTGTATATATGTATGTTTATTCTCAAAGAAAACTATACGGCTATTATACAGAGTGGTCCACGCAACTTGCACACCTTGAATAATTTCTGAAGTATGCGTTTTATGAAAAAATTTTTGTACAAGAGTTTCATGGTTTGGAGGAGCATATTATGCAGTGCGTGTACTTTTTTTCATAGGTGGAGACGTTTCAGAGGTTTCAAGGTCAACTTCGTGATTTTATCGTAAAATTCTATATTTTTTAAGCGAAAATATCGAAGAAAGGTGAATTCGGAGTAAAGAAGTATTGTCTTTATTAGCCCTAAGCCTAATAATTAACTAATAATTTCGTTTCGTTTCTTGAAAATATACTTAGCGTAATATCAAGTTGGAGGTTCAATAGCAGCAAAGATTTTTGTAAGACAGCGCTAGGTCAATACTTTTTTATTCAGAATTCAACATTCTTCCATATCTTGGCATAAAAAATATAGCATTCCATTTCAAATGACGAAGTTGACCTTGAAATGTTCGAAACACCTCCTATAAAAAAGTGCGTGCACGACATGATGTCCCTTCAAACCATGCAACTGTTGTATACAAAATTTTTTCATACAACGCATACTTTAGAAATTATTCAAGGTGTGCAAGTTGCGTGGATCACCCTTTATATGTATGTATACAGCGTGTCCGGTTTATCTCGAACCGCTCAAATATCTCTAAAAATATGAATGATACGAAAAAATATTTCAGACAAACATTGCATGATATCGAGGGGAGCATACTATATTCTTATGTGCGTGACCTTGCGATGATCTTGAAACGTCCTATGAAAGTCTTATTAAAATTTTTAAATGGGAACCTGCATTTTTTATTACATATTCTTATGACTGGCATTGAGATGTTTTCAGAACACTATAAACTTGTGTCTGTCGCTCCATCCACTATCGAGATATGAACTTCGAAATTCGACATATGTACCACCGACATTAGCGTTGCCTGATCTAAGTGGGGGAGGTTGCTCGGTTGGACTATTGATAAAACTAATGACTTTCCGACATAAATAGCTTAATACATTTTTGTAGAAAATACCGGGGTGCATCGATTAATGCATAAAAAATTATATGATTCCATTTAAAAAAATAATGTTGACCTTCATACGTCCTTCATGCGTCCACATACAGACAAACTAACTATACTAAATTACTTCCCCCTCGAAAACGAACAAGTTCTATTTGAAACATTTTTCTGAGTAAGGAACAATTCTGGAGATAATTGCATTTATAGATTAAAACCGGTCACCTTGTATGTGTATATATATATATACATATGTATAGAAAGAGAAATGGAAACCAGCGGGAAAAAGAACAGGTAAAACGATAAAAAAAAAAAAACAATGGAATGTATCGAGGAGTATAACGTATTGCTAAACATAAATACGATATTTCGAAGTACATCTATGTTAGGAATTGTTACAGAATCATTCAATAAAAATAATTATCTTAATACGATTCTCAAGCTGGCGACTCTTTTAAGATGGATTGTTGTAAGAAAGAAAAACGAAAACCAAAAAAGAAAAGAGACAAGTGTTCACGGAAAAAGCAGCTACCGATTCCGATGATCTCGGACCAAAAATTCATTTCTTCATCTCCTTTCAAACTACTGTACGAATCATTGTGTACTAATACTGATTTCATTTAATATATTGACTGTTAAGCCTTTGGATCTTGGATTTTGCTGCTGTCCCATAATTACCGTCACGCTTCGCCTCGTTCCTCTTGTTCTCCTTCTCTTCCTTGGTGTCGACGATCACTGGTTGATCACCATCGCGTAACACTATCGTGGCTGCCGTGGTTGCTGGCATTAAATTATTATCCTGCATAGATTGCTGAAAGTATGGATGGAAAGTATATTTAATGTTTTATTTTATATACCAAACAAATTTTTCATTTTTCATTAAAATGATAAATTCATGACCTGTTGAATGAAAGCACTAGAATAGATTATGATAATTACCTGCATGACATTGATGAGAAACAAGAAAGCAAGTAAAGTCAAGGCACTCAAAGCTGCTCCATTGCCTCCCTTGCTTTTAGAATTTCTGAAATCATGAATTATTCTTCCCAACAAGTGTCAATTGTATTAAATTCTTCGATTGTCTCCAGTACTTACCCCCGTGAACCATGATAATACCCCCCAGAGTTACTATGATGATAACCACCGGAACCACTGTGATACCTATCAATTGAAGAATGATAAGAGTCCTTAGCGAGGCCTCCAAAGTTCATCAGGGATTTAAAAGTCATCTATGAGTATCACAATACAAACTAATTTCCTTTCTTCATTTTTTTAACAAGTATAATTAGTCTGAAGCAATTGTTTCAATAGAAAGCGTGAATTGATGCAATAGAAGAAGAAAGACTGGAGTTATAGTTGTCTTCTCACCTTGAGCAAATCACCGATGAGTACGCGAGAAGTAGTTGAAAAGCTTTCGTATTTCGCAATAGTCTTACAAACTCTCTGTACGAGACGTTAAGTTAAACTGTTACGTTCACGGGGACGAATGGCTAGTTCTCTCTGCTTTCTGTCATGCCTTATGAATTTCTTGGTGTTCCTTGATGACATCCTTCTAGTCTTTCCAGTGCTTGAACTGGTTAAATGTGTGCTGTCCTCATTGTCGCAACGTTAGAATTATTTTAGCCAATCAGAAAGGTGCTGGTACCATTGTTCTCCAATTTGTTGGAAAACGGAAGTCTCTGAGGTGTGTAATTACGTTGGAAAGGTGGCCTTGTTGTGTTTACAGAGCAAGTAGAATTTTTTCATTCATTCAATTATACTAATTATCTTGTATGTTAGTCCTTCTTGTAATAGAAGCGTAAATTTTGGATTTATACAAGAGGAATTGTGTTGAAATAATGTAGAAGGATTAGAAAGAAGAAGATGGCATGTGTAATTAAGGCCGTTTATTAATTTCCACTTGAAATATAATCGTACCGCACGTCATACATACAACTTATGCCTAGATTATACGCTAACTGAGCTAAATATTGCGATAAAACTCCACCCCTGTATGTGTGTGTGTGTGTGCGCGCGCGCGTTTTTGCGTATACATATATAATGCCTATATACAGTAGATAATTTGGAGCGGGTGATAAAAGAAACACAGTATCCTGAGACGTAACTCGTACAAATATATAAGGAGGATCTTTCCAGAGTAAAATTCTTCGAACCTTGCTTCGATCTTTAAAGAAATTCATTGGTCACGTTCGCATTACCA